TTAACTCCTTTTACTCCTTTTTTCATCTACAAGTTGTTTTAAGCTAAAATCCTGACCAATATAGCAACCAAACTAAATAAATTCAGAAAGTCTTCTTTTAACCAGCTGACTAGGGGTGTGCAGCAACCTCCACTATACACCATACAGCCAATCAAATCTTTGTTCATTTCGGCACGTTCTTGGTGTCTCAAAAGTGTTTTAAACAGCTGAAATTGTATGATAAAAAATTTGATCAGTTTTACTTTTCATAACCTCGGAATACGCAGATACAGACAACTCTGTCGTACCTAAGTGAGATCTGGATGCAACAGTTTAGATCAGATCAGGAAATTGTAACTTTATGCAAAAGAAAAAAGTAAAGAACCATAACAAGAACATACGTTTACCAATCAAACCTTTAGCCTACAGGATTTCATTACATTTGCAGTAAAATAAAACCAATTACAGGCAAAATAATGCCACATTAATGTATGGGAAATGTTTGCTCACCCCAAGCAATCCAGCAATGACCTCTATGACACCAGTCCCCACTGTTGTGTACTGAATGTCGCGTTCTGGGATTCCTGCATCCCTGAATATGTCATTTGTGTAGAACCAGATCTGAAATTCAGAAAGAGGAAGTTTATCGGAGGAATCTGATTGATTACAAACTCAGAATCAGATTATCTCATTTTCTAAGGAGCCAAAACTCCCGTCTTTTCATTTTGTGCTTTCACATGATTCATTATACTGATCATTTTCATTAGTCCAACCATCACTTATGCATTTGAGTTACTGCGTTTCATGAACATGGATTGCTGACAAGTGCTCCCCTTGAAATTAATTTGTGAGTTCTCATCAATCACACTTTACCGGTGCAGCATCCATCATTGATGAGGTGAGGACAGAAATGTGAAGAGTGTAGTTCAACCCTGTCTTGTTGATATAGGAACCGTACGCATTGCATTCCATCAATATTACAACTTTGAAATATGTATTCGAGTATGCTTGAAAACAGTTTGCTCGCACAGAATAAAATGTCACCATGTGTAGTTTTCAAAAGGTTTTTGTAAATGGGAACAGTGTGGAGCAGTGCAGGTCCTCTACAAAGATATTAATGCATAAAAAACATGACGTTTGTCTTTTTACCTGTCATGGTTTTAAGCTTCCTGTATTATATGGTAATAGCCATTTTTGTTTTAACATTGCTAAAACAACAGTTGTTTGAGGAACCAAACTAAAAGGTCAGTTTACCAAATGTTTTCCCACATGTGAACCCCTTTCCTCCCCTATAATGGATTAAAGTAGTTTAGAAGCTCTCCATATTGTTATGTCCTTGGATGAGACACTTCACCCACATTGCTTACTGATGTTGTTTAGTAGCTTGGCATTCAAACTATATTACACTCTGTGTAATACATGCTGGCTGTAAACCAGTCTGATAACCTGCCATTGACTCCGGCCAGATCTGGCTGGACCAATCACAGAACAGAAAGTAGGAACTGAGGATGCGTCACTCTCATTGCTTTTCTGTTAATTTAACAGCAAGATGGTGACCGCAACAGAGCAATGTTTTAATGATGCCCCTTCGGATGTTCTAACAGAGAATGGTCTAACTTTAAAAACTCAACAATAGACAGCTTGTCATTTCTTTTTAAAAAGGTTGTATTTGCCATGTTAATCCTGTTAGTTCTGCCTTTAATATCGAGCTCTGCAAGCTCCTTTCCACACCGATACGCCGTGTATGTGTCCTATCAGTCTGGCTTGCCAAGCTAGGTGGTCATGGGGCCCAGTGGCACCTGTGTACAGTATGTTAGCCTTCCTTCTGTCAGTGAGCCCCAGGGCAGCTGTGGCTACAATATAGCACAATCAGTGTGTGCCTAAATGACTGAATGTAGTGTAAAGGGCTTTGGTCAGGTCTCCTGAACGGCCATATAAATACAGGCCATAAGTAACTACAGGCTTTTAGGTCATTGCTGGTGTCTTTCCGTTTTGTACAGTTGTTGTGTGCATAAAATAATTCCAAGCTGTCTAGGATTTATATTCACTGTTTAAACTAGAGGTTTAATTATTTCTTTAAATCGTGTCTTTAGTTTTTAGATTGTTCTGCAAAAAATCCTACCCAGTTTAAACAGCACTGAGCATACATTACAAAGGATAATACCCAAAACAGTCTTTTATTTGTTTACCACTTTTCTACTCACTTCTCCCTCAGTGTAGCCCAGCTATGGGAAACAGTTAGCTGTATACTTCCACCTAAAAAAACAAACACACCTCTGAAAACCAAGAAGTTTAGATCTTTGAAAGAGAGGACCGATGGTTTGAAAGAGGGGTAAAAAAAAAATCAATTTTTGTCAAATAAGACATGCCAACACTTAACACAGGGGGAGGATTTCAGTTTCAGCTCTCATACATATACAGCTTTCTGCTGCAACTCATTCTGAAGAGTTTACAGAATTCAAAACACCAAAACTTATTTTAAACAACAAACTCCAAGTATCCAGAAGAATGATGGGTGGGTTGTTGATTTGCATCGGACTTGGACCAGCTATTTCTAGTGTGAGCTGAAAGAACTGAAGATTCCACAGCGGGTGTCAAAACTGTTACAGAGAAAAGACTTACAATGAGTGAAAGTCCACTTGATTTAGATTAAAGCTCGTTTTGTTGTCAAAACAGAATTTTGATTCATATAATTTAATGTGATATTAGTTTTACAATACTTGAGAGTAAATAATCTTCTTTGTGTAACTTGCATGAGTTAGAGACTGATTAAAACAGTTTGTGTGCAGTGCACTTCAATCCGCAACACTTGCTGCCCTCTGACCCATTTCTCTACATGTCAACAACTAGAACTAGTCATACAAAAAACTGAAGGATTCCTTATTTTACCCCTCAACGAACAGTTACCAAAAATTTTTTCATGATACACCCACAAATCTCATTAAAGGTTATTAGGATTTTAATGTCATGGAAAAACATAGTTTTCTTATTTCATTTACAAATAATAATCAGAAAGATAAGGCATCAATTTCTATTCAGCCCCTTTTTCCATGACACTCTTAAATACATCTGAGTTTAAATACTACTGCACAAGGTCAGGTACAGCTTTTGTTTCAATGCCAATGGAAAGTAATAAATCACTAATTGAAATGCTGAATGCAATTTCTTTTCTAAATTTTTGTTTTGGGCATGTGGATTTATTTGCATGTGTGAATCCTTGCAGATTTCCTTTGTGGAACAGCTGGGACCAAGCGACCCAGCAGGAAGTCCCCCTGCCGGGAGATGATGCCACTATGAGCCAGCATGCCCGGAGCTTCCATCCACACAAAGCAATGAGCACAAAGATGTGCTCTATTTTACGTTCAGATGGGTGGACCTTGTTAGGTGAGGTAACACTGAGAGAGATAATGAGCCGTGATCATGTCGCCCTCAGCATAGTTATTCAGCGGGTGTAGTACTGTGTGACTCTGTGATGTATGGACAGAAGGAAGGAGCCCAGCTGGGATCTGCGGCAATATGAACTCTCGTTTTCACATTAAGTGCACAGAATGATGCACATGCAAAATGAAAAAGACAATGAAGCTACAGTTTTTTTTTGTTTTTTTTACCACTCACCGCATCAATACCAGACAGCTGCATGCCAATGTTGACCACCATGGTGGTAAGGACCTGCCAGCGGACAGAGCGGTCCATGAGTAGACGGCGGACAGAGAGGGTCTTCACAGAGGAGAGTGACCTTTGCTCCTCCTGCATCTCCTCAACCTCAGCTTGGATATTTCCCTTTTTACGGAAACACTTCAGGGCTGGAAAAGAACGAGAGATTTTACATTCCACTTTAAGTTTCATAACATGTAAAACAGAAATGAAAAAAAGGTTGATTATCTAACCTTTTACAGTTGCGTAGACATTTCCTTTGTCTATCAGCAGGTATCTTGGACTCTCGGGAAACCAGGGCAACAGCATCAGTTGGACCAAAGTAGGAAACAAGACAAGGGAGAGGAGCAAGGGCCAATGTTCCTCCTGTGAGTAGAGATAAAGACAGACATTTTCAGTGTCCTGTAACTTTCCTGTTGTCTGTACAGGAAATTCTGCAAATCATGGTGTAAAATCAAATGAAACACTCTCCAGAGGGAACCAATAAAACTATAGGTATTTAAGGCCACCTTTGCTTTTCTATGCTGCTGTTCACATTACTTGAATTTCTTAGGCCTGAAAGTACAAACTGGTATTTTCTTATCTATGTATTGAGACATTATAAGAGTCTTGCAGAAACTTCCGCCCCAAGGTACCTTTCCCAGCAGTTCAGAGAGCCCAAGGACCTGAGCAATGAAAACTCCAATGCAGATGTGGATACTGGGAACGAGGCCTAGAAACCCTCGAAGGTTCTTTGGTGCGATCTCTCCAAGGTACATGGGCACTACGCTGAGAGAAATCCCTGAAAAAAAAAAAAAAATCTTACCATAGGATACATCCCATCATGTGCACATGAGGACAGCAATCACTATCAGCATTCTGAAGAACAATTGCCCTGTTTATATCTCAGACATTTAGTTTACTGTGCTCCTGTGTAGAGGGTGAAATTAACAGAGCTGCTTGAGGCATCAAAAAAGAGAAGAGGCCTTAAAACTAGTAAAAATCATTAAAGCTACAGTTCAGAAGGTAATCAGCTATTAAAGAGCATTTGTTAAAGTGTTACCAGTACACACCGAGATATGTGTCCAGATGTGGGGTCCATGCAGGTTAACCTTCAGAGCAGAGCCTAGATACTAAAGCAGTATTCAAAATCCCCCAAATGTCACCATGAGAACTGTACATTGACTTTGAAGTGATTTTCTTTAGCCTAAATCTTTAGGGTTTTGACATGTTGTTGGATGACAGGAAACAGGAGGTACATGCAAGAAACGGCTTCCAGTTGACAGGTATGAGAAGCCCAGTAAAGATACAGTTTGGAGTCTGGGTTTCAAAATGTTATTTTGTTGATCTCTATTCTTTGATAAATGAAATGAGATCAATTATCTTCTTAAGTTTAACTTTTATTTTCACATAGATTGAAAATTGTGCTCTCCACTACAAAAAAAAAAAAAAAAATGCACATACACAACCCTGTACTTGCTCTCAAGGGGGAATGCCTATCAAAAGCATGTGAGAGCAGTCTATTTCTCCTCCTGCACGTTCTGTTTAAAAGGTGCTTGTTTGCATCGCCCGTACAAGTTTAATTTCCAAAAGATGATTTGAAATCTTTCCACTATGTCAGACTCACCTCTGGTAAGTGAAAATGGGGATGAGCACGTAGGACGGCCTTACGTAAACATATCAACAGAATGATTGACAATTAGGAGGACCACTTATTTTGATGATCCACCCGGATAAAGAACATCCTCCACCACTATACCATTAACTCATTATAAAATCTGGTAAATATTTGAAAGCAATGTAATAAAACAAACTAAATTTGAACAAATTCTGGTTTTATTTTTACCAGTGCAATATATAATTATTCAAAATATTAGATAAAAAAAAATAATTCAGGTATAGGAAACTCTTTTCATTGTAAAATTTATGAAAACAAGACTAAGCAGTTAAAGGAAACATAAAATATACTGTTAAAAGCATTTGGTAACTTTAATGACATCCTGTTCTTTGCCAATTTGGTCAAATAAGTTAATGGCTCCCACTCTTTTACTTGTAAACATTTTACTTCATGGTTTGTGAGAGGCTCCATAGTTGGAAGTGAAAACAAGAATTCAATACTACGTTCTAGTTCATCCTGGCTGCAAAACCTCTCTTTTCTTTTAGAAATACTCTAATACGATCATGCCTAGCTCCTATCTGCTTTTGGTTTACCGGTATGTTTTGTTAGCTTGTTTCTTCCCCCACAAATGAAACACTTTATCCAATCCTGTATGTCTCTGGACGCAGAAGTCTCTTCACCTCTTGATCCTGAGGTCTTCTATTGCTTCAGTAATTTAGTTCAGATTTTAGTTCAACCCCCTAATTGTTTACAAACAGGCATAAACAAAAGCAATATTTTTTTTTTCTGTTTTTGAGCAGGCAGGCCTACCTGAATGGACTCCTGTGATGAAACGTCCTGCAATGACCATCCAGGGATCCCTGAACCATCTGCTGAAGCCCATCAAAGTCCCTCCAATAAACACCAGAATGGTGGATCTGACCAGTGTCCCTTTTCTGTTCAAACACATTATCTGTAAAAGCTCATCCTTTTTAAAAATTTAGGCAGTGTTTGATAATCAGGAAAAAAAGCAAGAGTTGTTATACAAACAAAACATGTAAGTAAATTATTTGCACCCATTCTAACCTTCCATATTTAGTGACAAGTCTTCCCACCAGCAACGCACCAGTCATCCCACCGATGGCAAAGATGGAAACAGTTAGGGCATATAAGACCGTCAAGAAATGCTCATCCAGATGCCAGTGATGGTTCTCAGTTAACGTCTCGTTGTAGAAGGCTTTGATGTACTTGTGGAAGAGAAATACTATCATATTTATTTCTAACATTTTAAAGAATTAAAAATACAAATCTCAAGTACAAAAGTATTAAATTAAGTATTTAATTCCTTAAACAAAGACAAAAAACAAGCTGACCATGTCAAACTTCACTTGATGTGTAAAAAATTCAAAGGTGTCATCTCTTTATTCTAAATGAAATTCATTACAACGCCACCCGGCAGTTTCTTTACATATTTAGATAAATGAAAGGCTCAAACTTAGCTGAAGAGAAATTAAACTCAATCTAGTTGTTCTTTAGGGATGCTATTTATTTAGACACCATAAATATTACTGATTTTACTCTCTTCAGCAGGGAGAAAAATTACTAGCTTAGATTTTATTTTTTTAAACTAGCAGCTTTAACATATATTGTATGAAACACTGTTCCATTTAACCCATGCAAGAATTTACGCTTCTTTGATGAAGAATTTGCTTCCTGTTTGTTCTACTTGTAAAACAAAACTTAAAAAGTTCCTTTTAAATAAGCCTAATAATGGTGATTAATGTCTGAGGTTACAGGATGAATTTTTGATCACTTGTCTAAAATCAACAATGTTTTCTCATTTGTGCCAGGAAAAAAAAAATTGGGGCCTTCTACTTCTTTGTTTGTGTCCCTCTAGTCTGATTTCCACATGATCAGAGACACATGGGGCAACAGTGGGGGTGGATATAGGAGCTTGCTCTGAAAGCGAAGGGTTTTCAGTGTCATGTCATTGGGCAAGACACTTCACCTGCATTGTCTACTGATTGTGGTTAGACGGCCCAGTAGCACCAGTGTACGGCAGCCTCGCTTCTGTCAGTGAGCCCCAGGGCAGCTGTGGCTACAATGTAGCTTGCCACTGTCAGTGTGTGTGTGTGAATGTAGTGTAAAGTGCTTTGGTTAAGTCTCCTGACTAAGTACAGGCCATTTATCAAAATATCTAAATAGATATTTTAATACTCAAAAAGCTGAGGTGTCATCAAACAGCGATGCATTTAATAAGGAACTCCTGGTTTCCTGTGATGGATTGGTTTTTACATCTTTTGTTGTCTCAGTTTTTTTGTTTGCTTGTTAAAGACATTAAAATCCCAACATTATTGTATCTTATTTAAATAAAACCATACAGAGATTATTATACCTCAAAGCGTCATTATCCTGATTTCTGATCAGTATCATCAAAATCCCTTAGGTTTCCCATTTCTATTTCCCAGGGAAACCTGTATTGCAGGAACCTGTATTGTTTGTAGCTGAAGAAAGGCAATGTAAAAGGTTCCCCAGTAAGCCAATGACTCCATTATAAAAAGGAGTTTTTCTGCTTCAGAAAAGGGTTATCCGTGTCAAAACAGAAATGCTCACAGCTTAGTCGCTGCACCGCAGCAAATTCCACAGCAAAGGAGCAGAACAGAACAGATGATGGATTAAGAGGTGAGGAACATCAATGACATGCTAAAGCTGATGTACAGACCCACATGAGGAGCACGTGACAGACAGTGTTACATTGATTTAGCATAATAATACAACTTTATTTGATTAGAGGATCAGATACACCTTAGATGTCTAAAACCTTAGAGTCACTAAATTACTCATACCCCCCCAGCAAAAGGATCTAGATTAAGTTTTGGACGGCTTTGGGGGGAAAGAATTTGCTTGAACCAACCTCTGCAGGTGAGTTGACAACAGCCAAATTGAAGCCATAGAGCATCGAGCTGCCGAACGAGGCCAAGAAAGCCACAGCCAACAATGACCATGTGAGATTCTGAATAGACGAGAATAAATATGCAAATGAGAAAAAGAACAAAAGACAAACTTTGTCAGTTTCAAACTAATGAATGACACTGGTAAATAAAGCAAGTGACTTTTACAATCCCAGAGGTGTGAAAAACTAAACTTTGGAACAAAGCAATGCTTTTATACTCAAGAAATGTTTTTATGTCTAGTTAGCGAGAGTAAAGAGTACCCAAACAAGAAAGAAGTATTTGGTAAAAAAGGCTTCTCAAGTAGTCATTAAAGGTTTAGTGGAGGATTTTCATGAATTTTTGAAAAGACCCACCCTCTTTACTTAAAAAAAAAATAACATGCATAATCCTGTACCCGCTCTCGAGAGGGAACACCTATTAAACAGATGCGAGAGCATTCACAAGCCCATTTCTCCTCATGCAAGCTCTGTTTATAAGTTGTTGTTTGAATCGCTCACAAAAGCTTACTTTTCAAAAGAAGATTTGCAATTTTTCCACTATGTCAGACTCACCACCGGTAAGTGAAAATGGGGATGAGCACGTAGGACAGCCTTAAGTAAACATATCACCAGCATGATTGACAATAAGAAGGACCATTTATTTTGAGGATCCACCCGGAAAAAGAACATCCTCCACTATACCTTTAACATCTCCTAAGGTAAAAAAAAAAAAAAAAAAAGCCAACACACATCAAATGTTCCACTATCTTTGGAATTCAGAAAAATATAAAACAGGCCAAGATCTTTAAGATATATTTAACATGCAGTCCTAAAGAAAAATGGAATGTTTTAATTCACATTATATGGATTTCTTCAATGAGTTGTTGTAGATGTTATTTACTACAGGTAGGAAGTACATCCTGTAGAGGTCTTTTTTACAATGGGTCAGAAAAAGCCTCTGACAGAGGATATTCTGTTGTTGTTTGAGAGTCTGATGCAGAGGATTCTCATGGTTTCCCTTAATCATATTCATGCTTTGAAGATATTTTCTTTGTTTTATACCAGTTGAGTGCAAATGAGTAAAACTGTTGGCAGGGAAAATACTAGCTTCTGTGTTCTCAAAATAAATCTAAGTTGGGAATGGAGAAAGTTAAGAGACATTAAAATAGCCCGGAGCTGAGAAAGCCCAACAGTCAGTATCACCTTCAGTAGATTATATATTTAATGTTAAAGCCCTCACATGTTGCATTACTTTAGTCTAGTGCTGAAACAATTAATCATATTAGTCATGATTAATCAATTACTGAAATAATCGTCAACTAATTTATTATCAATTAATCTTTAGCTGGAGTACAGAGACTCTGAAACATGTCTTTAGTTGAAAGAGCAACCCACTAAGAGCAGTGATTATACCAAAATTAAATTAAAATAAAAAAAATATATAAACATTTTGGATTTAAGATAAAAAAAAATGTTTTTGTCTGTCAATATGCTGTATTCAGAACGATCCAGTTTTAGTTCACTGGGTTTAATTTAATAAAGAAAATCTGCTTTAAGGAACCTTTGCTAACTGATTATTAATTAATACATTGAAAAAATTATCAAAAGGTTAATCGATCATCAAAATAATCGTTAGTTGCAGCCCTACTTTAGTCAAACCTCTCCATAGTATAGTAGTTCTTTTAGAACTGTACTTTTATTGACAAAAACATTTAAAATTACATCTCTGTTCATGTTAGACATGTGTATAGTTTCTTTCACACATTGAAAGACTTATTTTGTAAGGGAAATATCAGCATAAAAAAGGTTCCAGCTCACCCCAGTGATCTTTGCAGCATTTTCTTTTAATAACTCCTCCGCCATTTATGTCATGAATAATTCCTCCTCTGGTATAATCAGCTTGATGGAGATGGGGAGAAGCTCATCTAAGGAACTTGTTAAAACTCTTCACTTCTCCTATTTGTAGATTCCTCCCATTGCTCATGTGGTCATGAGGAGGCGCGTCCGAACGATGGGTGGAATTAACCAACTTATTATCACGCTCCTGATCCTTCCCTAAACCAGCCATGAATTGGTCCCACTGGATCCGGTTCATTAGGGATCACATGAGCCCTGTGGGTCATCTTTAGAGTCCATTGATTTTAAGACACAGCAAGTCACTGAATATATTGGGTTTAAAAAAAAAAACATTTAGACGAGAGAATGCCCAGATGCATACGAAGCTTATAGAGATTCTCTGATATTAGTTTTGTGGTTTCATATGATTTCGTTATAGGGCTGCAGCCATACTATCTATAAATATGCATATATAACCCCTGTATTTACCACCTTTTTGTGTTTGTTTTTTTTTTGGTTTTTACACGTTTTTTGTTAAGTAATAAAAAAATAGCTTTAGAGTCTTTTCATTTTCAAGAGAGAGCAACTTTATATCACAATTATGGCTCAATTTGATTATTCCTACAGCTCATTGATGGCACTTCCAGGAAGTCTTAAAAGACTCCATAACATCAAAGGTGCTGCAGGCGTATAAAAACTCAAAGGTCATGCTTCAACAAATAGTTAATTTTGCTCTCTAGCAGAAGGTCCTGAAGAATATCTAATTGTTAGTTTCCATTACAAATCTGAAGCATACTAGCAAGACAAGTCCACCTTTAGCTAGAAAATTGCCTTTCTAATTATATTTTCGTAGTGATTCATGTCCTGTTTGGATTTTTGGATTTACTCCTGCTTGGTTTGGATTTAGTTTTAGTCAAAATGGAGTGTCTTAAAGGACTGCATGCTTTATGGTATTTTTTTTTAAAGGTTGTATCTGAGTTCTCGACTTCTTTACCTTAGGGGCACTAACCTCTATGCTTTCCATTCATTCCATTCGGTGTGAGCCACACTGATGAATGATGGCAGCATCTTGAATAATGGGGGCAACAACAATGGCCATTTGTTTACAACAGCTAACAGAAGGTAATAGTGTAAACATGACTGACTTGTATTTGTAGTAAGAAGTAAGAAGTCCCATTCATCTCATCTCCATTACATTACATGAAAGCATTATAATTTAGGTTAATCGTCAGAAAAAAATGACTGATTATAAAGTCCTCTTTACAGAGTTGTGGTATATTTTCTTTTTTTTTTAGTTTAAAAACTAAACTAAATGTTGAAATGTTGTTTTGTTCCACCTGAGACTAAACCCACTGAAGTAAAGCTATACTGTAGCACCATCTGACATCCTTTGTATACATTCTTCCTGCTCTTCGCCATAAAGGCGTTAGTTACGGTGTTTAATGCCTCCCTTCTGATTGCACTGCAAATCAGTTCAGAAGTTCATCTTCCCTCTGATTCAAACAAGTGAACTTAAAACACCCACACTCATCCTCAAAACATGTTCTACTTAAGACAATTTACCATGTTATTAGGTGATCACTGATACATATATGAACTTTGTTTTTTTTCATATACAACAGATTTTATACTTATTAGTCAAGTTTGTAGAAATCTATTGTTCTTTTGACTCCACCCTGGTCATACCTGATGCTATGATGACTGTTTCCTTAGTTTTTCTTACTTTCTGCTCTCCACTCACACCTGGTCTTCATCTGTTGCTGCACCTGTTGTATATTTAGTTAATTACTCCCTCCAGTTGAATAAGGACATTTTGTTTTGCTGTATAAACATTTCTTCGGTTCTAATCAATCTGCTTGTCAGGGTAAACGTGGGTTCTCTCTTTATGATTTTTGTATTTGCATTTCAGTTGGAGAAAACTCACAATTCTTAACTTTCAATTTAGAAACAACGCATAAACAATGCTATCCTTGCGGCCCCCATAGGATTAGGAGGGTGTGTTTCAGCCAGGTGCTGTTAATATATTCAGTTTATTAACTGATCATGGAAAACTCAGTCTCAGTGGATAGTTGGGCAGCTACTTTGGTTGTACCTTGAACACAGGAAGATTAGTTTTTCATGTGGGTCTTTTGAAAAGTTTTCTAATTGATTATTAGTTTAAACAGGTTCTATGGTTGAGAAGTAAAGCATGGTGCAACAGCGTTGGTCCTTCCCCTCACATGAACATTTTTATCTTTACACCGATTTCTCCAGCATTTTTCTTGATGCAGAATCCAGAGGTGGGAAATTTAGCCATTCATAAATGATCAGAGACTTGAGATTTGAATTGTACTTTTACACCAATAACTTGGGCTTAAAATTGACCAATAGATATAATTTAACAAATGCAAACCATACATTTTTTTCACTCATGCCGTATTAATATTCACAGACCGCCCCTCTGTGTTTTCACACTGTGTGTGCATGTGCACTAAGAGACTCCAGCACAGCCAGCCATTTATACTTCTTTTGCTGCTTGTCTGTAAGGCTCTATTTTCAGAAAAATTTGATTTCTCTTATTTCAGATATTGATTTATGCTATTTGCTCACTTAAAAAGTTTTTCACTCAGTCTGTATCACCTGCAATGCCATACAATGCCTGAGTGAGTGGTGTTTGTAGACAAGACATACTTCTTCCTATAAAAGGCCAGATTCTTTCTCAAGGTTTATTCAGAACATGTTACTGTTTAAGCTTTTGCACACTGCAGCACTGCTCAGCGACAAAGAGGAGAAAGAAAGTGAAACATATTCTTGAAAATTTATAACTGCACTATCTGATCAGAATCTGCTAAAGTGAACCCTTCTTTTGGAGGAGGAGAACTGTAGTAAAGTCATCCTGAAGGTTATTAAAAAGTGGCCAGAGAGGACAGGGTTGTGAGGAAATACTGTTATTTCTTCACATTCTATGTCATATGTCAGCACAAGGTCCAAAGTATGAAGATGAGAATGTGTGGGCCTATTTCCATTTTGAACAAAGCCAATAGCATCTAAGATAGCATTAAAGGATACTCTTAAGCTATCGGATTCGATGTCAGCATGGATGTTAAAATCTCCCACTATGATGACCCTGTCAGTATTTAACACCAAATCAGATAGGAACTGTGAAAACTCATCTAAAAATTCAGAGTAAGGACCTGGTGGACGATACAAAGTTACAAAAAGAATAGGTTTTCTTGCTTTGCAATTTGGATGAGAGAAACTAAGGGTTAAATTTTCAAAAGAGTTGTAAGTTTTAAAGGCACACTATCCAACATTTTTCAGTTAATTAATGTGTTCCATAACGTTTTGGATGATTAAATGAGTCATTTCAGGTTGAACAAAGGTATTCTCGGCCGCCCTGGTGGTCTGTGGGGGAAAAACCGCACTTGCAATTGCAGGAGCACCGACCCGCACCCACAGGCTCAAAAGTCTCGCGAGATAGTCAGTCTTGCTTTACGGCGAGAACTGCTACTCGCCCCCAGTTAAAAGCATGCTCGTTGCTAGCACAGTGGCGATCTTTGTGCAGCGCTGCTTTCACACCGGACACAGCAAAATCGCGTCTGCTGCTTCATTTTTACTGCTTGTACCAGTTCTGATGCGCGGCTGAAGCAGCTTTGCTGCTCTGGCTGCGCGGTGCTAAAGTGTGTCTGACGCGCGTTGGGCGGAGCTTCACTATCCTTTCTCTGCCTTGCAGCTATATTTGCTGTGATCAGTGGGAATAAAGTAGTTTTAATATGTTTTTAAGTGAGAAAATACACCTGAAAACGTAATCAGTGCATTCAGTTCATTCAGATTATAATCCTGCCTTCCAATATTTTTTCTGTCGGAGCCGCTCAGACCCCCACATAGCAGCGGTGCGCCGACAGTTGGAATCCATTCATCAGCAGCCTCTGGCTGGGTCGCCTCCTCGCGGTTCACGGCGGCAGCTGGTAGGTGTTTTTCATCTAAATAATCCAAACTGCAGGCAGCAGGATAATAAAAGCGAACATATTCTGCCGGCAGATTTCTGCATTTTAAGTTAATTTAGGCGTCAATAAACTGTTTAAGAGGAGTGATAATAGCGCTCTGATCATCAGCGCTGTGTCTCTCTCCCTGCCAGCTCCCAGATCATCTTCTCTGATTGGTTGAGGCGGCGCGTCGAGCAGCAAAAATAAAATGTTTCCATCTCGAGCAGCAGCGCGTTTGCGGCGCGTCACACGCGTCAGATGCTTAAACGCGCCCGACGCGCTGCTTCAGCTGCTCAGACGCGCTGCGCCTGCTGCTCAAAACGCGCCGCGGGACCTTTTGCTGCGCCTTGACGCGCGTCAACCATTGACTTTGCATGTAAACTCGCTGCTTCTGTCGCGCCAGCTGCGTTCGCCTGTCTGCTAAGCTCAAAACAACCGCGCCTGGCTTGACGGAGAAACCAGGAGAACAGCTGAGCATATTTACAACAGTGCACTTTTACTTTCGCCCTCTGGGGGGAGCCTCGCTGGAAAATCAACACCGGTTGCATAGTGTACCTTTAACTGCCTTTGGAGTAATCAGTAAGTAAGACGGAAAGATTGTTGCTACCCCTCCTCCTCACCAAGATTGTCTTGGTATGTGAAAATTTAAATAACTAGAAGGAGTTGCCTCATTTATGCGCACATAACCCTCTTGCTGCATAAAGGCCAGAGAAAATTCCAGAGTCGGTCATTGTTTTGCCAAACTTACACACACACTCATTTTAGTGACCTCTGATCGGCGTAACCAGGTGTTATTACCACCAGCTTGAATACAAATCTTACTGTGTTTAACCTTATCCTTAGCCAGCAGTTTCAGGTAGGATTTGATGTCACCCGTTCTGGCCTCTGTGTACCGTTTCCCAATCGCCTGACTGCTCAGGCACGTTTTGAGGACTTCTACGTGGGGGCCTAGTTTAACTCCTAAATGTTCTGCAGCCTCAAGCCTGGATTCTAACTTTGACACCCTCACCTCCATAGCTGAAAAAATACTACACTTATTACACATACCATTATCACTAAAGGAGGCAGAAAAATAACTGAACATCCTACACAGAGAGCAGGAGAGAACAGAGGAAGAAGTAAAAGTTGGAAAAGAGTCAAGGGTGGGAGAGAGA